GTGTTCACGCACAGTGCATGCGCACAGGTGAGCACACACCCTGCAGGCGGCTCAGCGGTGTGAAATGGCATCCCCCTTACCTCTGCTTTCTCCAAGCCTTCCTTTCCCTGCCCATGTCCTTGGCTCAGGTCTCCAGCCTTACCTTGACCCTGGTCTATTTAAGGACCTATTTCTGATTCTGTTTCCCCTGATTTTTATCTTTGCCCTGTCTTGTCTTTAACCCAGCCTATTTCCATTTCTATTTCCAAATCTATCTCTGCCCCTTTCCTTGTTTTGCTCTTTAAGCCTCTTCTTGCCTTAGTTTCTAGCTTTAACTAGGTATGTAGTTGCAACAGTGTCTCTGGCCACTTTTGTCTCCAGGTTTCTGTTTCGCTCTGTTTCTCTCCTACAGAGTCCTGACAAGGACTCCTACTGCCACAGTTCTGGTGGCTCTGTCTCTCAGTGGCTCAGCCCTAAGCCAGGGCCCGAGTGCTGTGCCTCCAGCCCTGATACAGAACCGTTTTCCAGTGACTCCGGCCAGGCCAAGGCCACGGGACTAGGGACCAGGAGGTGCGCGGGGTAGGAGACCCAGGGGCTGGCCAGGCAGTTCAGGGCTGCAAGAGCGGGACCTAACCCCACCCCACCCGCTTAGCCCCATCTTGCCTACTATTCCCCTGTGGGGCTGGCCACTCCTTGTGCAAGCCCAGGCCTACAAAAGCTTTGGGCTCCTTCCTCAACCACTTGGCGCTTATCTTGGGACTGGCCCACTCTGCTCTCTGGGGCTGGAGGCCAGGACAAAGAGGTAGAGGTCAGCACACAGTGGGAACAGGGAAAGAACCAGAGACAATAGGACAGTGCTGCAGTGGATGGCTGTGCACCCCCTCCTGCCCTACCAGAAGGAGAGGGGAAATGGCTTGGGCCCTCAGCCTCCAGGGCACTTCTGCGCCCAGTGGGGTGGCTGGACCCCGGCACCCAGTGATGGGGGCATGGAAGCTGGCATCCAGAAGTCAGGGATGGCTGCAGCTTTCCATGCCGGGGCCCTTCAACAGCTCAGAGATCTGACCTGGGGGAGTAGGGACCACGGCCCAGCAGAGGAGACCCCATCTGCTCCTCCCTCCCCAAGGCCCTGGCATAAGTTTCTTCCCAGGGATGGAGGTCAGCAGGGCCACGTTTCTTTTACCAAACCAATGTGAAGGTCAGGTGGCACCATGCAAGCACAGTCACCAGCAGACAGCCTTTTACACACACACACACACACACACACACACACAGATTCAGACTGGGTTCCAGACTCCAACCCAGGAGTTCCCTGTCCTCTGTGGTGACTAAACTGCTCAGGAAGTGATCAAACTTCACTACTGCCTTAAAGGCGGGCCTGAACTGGTCCTGGGTCCCCGGGGACACTTGGAGGTCTGAAGTCCTGGCAGGACAGTCCTCTCTGGACACAGGGGTGACTGGCTACAGTCGGCCTGGTGAGGGTTGGATTCAGTGAAATTACCAGTGGCACACCTCACTTTCTGTCATGGGGGCCGAAATTAGCACCCCTTCTCACTGGCTTCTGACAACGGTGGCTCAAAGGGCCAGTGTGGCTGTCGGCTTCACAGTCAGGGAACCAAATGTTATGGCAGAAATCACTATGGCAGGAAGCGACAAAACAAATGCACTCGGAGGTTCAGAAAAGGACTGTTTATTTGCACCAGGGCTAGCTCAGCAGAGTCCTCTCCAGCGATGGGGTTTTTGCCTTATACACATTCCTAGGTTCTTTGTCTCCCATACATGGCATACATACACATTCTAGACATTCTTTCTACCTTACATCCTAAGCTTCTGGGTATCTGATGCAGTTTGCGGAGGAAGGGGTGGGCGTCACAATCAAGCAGAGCTTGGACCCTCCTCAGGCAGCCCCCTCTAGAGGCGCAGGGCGGGTGGCCTGCCTCTCCCATTTCTATGCCCGCGCTGCCTGCCATCCCATGGTTGCCTGTGCTCTGGGCTGCTTCTCCCGCCACATTGCACCCACAGACACTTAGAGCCTGCTGCCAGGGCCTTGGGGTGAGCACGGGCCTCAGTGGGCCCCAGAGTCCCAGCCAGGGAGGTTGCAGCACAGGGATAGCCCGGGAGCTGAGCAGCACCCCCGCCCCGTCCTCCCATCCCCCCTCCCTTGGGCCAACCTTCTGGGGCCCTGGACTCCAGAGCCACCACTGCCCAGCCCCCAGTAGACATGACTTCCCATCCACATCTTGCTGCAGGTCTGTTGCCTAGGCTACAGGGGGAGGGCTTGGTTCCTTACCTGAGCCTAGGGGGAAGTCCCCAGACTGTGGCCAGAGAGTGCCACGTGCACACACACTTAGCCTCCCTCTCCCCTGCTTCTCACTGTCACTCCACCAAAAAGCAATCGGGATTACAGAAGCCAGGGGCGTAGTTATGGTGATGCAAGCAGGGAGGGGGCTTGCCATTTCACCCCAAGCTGTCCTGATGCCCTTTAGCATTGGGCTGACCTGCCTAGAAGGGAGAGGACACAGGCAAGTGGCCCTGCCATGGCCCTTCTGCCCTGTGACTTTGAAATTGACGGGCCTTGCTCAGGCCTGCTCTGTCGCCCACCTGGTGAGCACTGGGTGGGGCTGGGGATGATGCTCTGCTGGTTCCAGGGCTATGGCCTGGCTCTCTCTGAGCTCATCCCTGTCTCAGGCACATGGACGTCAGGGACGTCACCAAGGGCCCTGCCTGGACCGTCTGTGGTCAGAGGGGAGCATTCAGGCATGTGCAGTGTCAACCCCGCACCTCCAACGTGACCGGCAGTGTGTGAAGCTTCTGAGACGTCCCTCAGGGGCCACACTCTCCTCCAACAGGTAAGGCTGAGTTGGAAAAGGCCATCCTGCTAAGGCCCTGCCTGTGCCCACCTCCCCTGCTAGACCCTGAGGTTGACTGGTTCCTCCCAAGCTCTGCCCCTCTAGGTCCGTGTTCCAGGAAGTAGTCAAGATACTTAGTGCGACTGCGATGGTTCCAGCCTCAAGGTGCTCCTAAGAACAAGAGCACCACTGGGGAAGAGGCCCTGGGGCTGCCATGCAGGGAAGAGCAGTCCTCTGCAGGCTGCCTGGGCGGTGCCTGTCCACACTGTTAGTGCAGGGAGCAGGGCACGGCCTGGGGCATGCGCTGGGGGCTAAGGTTCAGGCTAATCCAAGCGGACAGGGAGGAGCTGCCACAGAAGGCAGAGCGGAGCCTGGACCCGAAGGCTGGTTTCTCACTGCAGGCAGAAGACCTGCTGCCCTGGGGGCGAGCTGGCACAGCGCAAGGGGGATGGGGAGGGCCTTTGGCCAGCGAGGCCGAGCCAGGTCCTGTCCAGTGCAGCACAAACACCCTCCCCTGCACTCACCACACTTTGGAAGGTTTGCGTGTTTCTAACAGCAGCACACTTATGCTGCCATGCCAGCCAGCCCTTCCCAGCTCTGGCCCAGGACCCAGCTAGCCTGGCCTTGCTCTCCTGAGCTGGTTCTCCCTGTCGCTGCCCTGCCAGCCCCCTTCTAAGCTCTGCTCCTGAAGGAGCCCTGGCTTCTGCTGCCTCTAGAAGACCTCCTGTTCCAGTGTCACCTCCCATGCCTAGGATTTTAAACTCCTGGCACCACCCTTGGAAGATGGCCCCACCTTCACCTTCCAGAGAGGACCTGGGACATCCTCTAGGGCCTCCACAGCTCGTCCAGGTCAGGCCCTGAGCCCCAGCTGTTGGAGGAGGCAGTGGTTTCCCTGTCCCCCAGGGGGTGCTCTTCCACCAGAGGCCCAGGCCCAGCCCCCATTGCCACTCTCCCTGCCCCCTCCAGAGTCCCTGCCCATGGACTTGCTTTCACCCACCTCAAACCCACCCAGGCCTCTCTGTCCTAAACACAAGCCACACACCCAATGAGAACCATGCCTTCCCTCCCCTTGTTAGGAGAGCAGCCAGGTCCTCCTGCTCCTCCTTGAGCTGGACATGGGGTGCTATGACCATGCACTGGGCCTCACCTGCTCCTGCAGCCTGGCTGTCTCTGTGTCGCCTGCTGCTCCTGATTCTCTCCCAGAGACTGCACAGCACCATGTGCCACAAATCCTGGCCTGCCGCCCCTCCTAAGCGTCCATCACTGTCTGTGGCGCCTCACCCACTCTGCATTGGGTTCCACTCTGGTGTGTCCATGGGAATCTCAGCCTCCCAGCTGCTCAGAAGCTCCATAACTTCCCACTGTCAGGTGTGGGCACCATGATAGGGCTGCTGATGGCCCACCTGGGATGCAGGGGTGGCCGCCTTCCTCAAACACCCAGCCCACCTGCTGCTCACAACTCAGGGCCTCCAGTCTCAGACACACCACGGGACCCAGCTCCCCTCCACTGAAGCCTGTCCCTTCAATCAAAAATCACGTCCTTTCTGGTTCTGTCTCTGTCCTGGGCCCAAGCCCACTCACCCAGGGCAGAGAGTGAGAGAGCACAGCAGGTGCCAGACACGGGCCATATTCATAAAGGACCACACCTCTGTGGTACCAGATCCCAGGACTGCTCACAGCCAGCCTGTGCTAAGAAAACGGGAGGGAGGGACTCAGGGCAGAGATGGTCTAGAACAGTGGTTCTCAACCTTCCTAATGCTGCGACCCTTTAATACAGTTCCTCATGTTGTGGTGACCCCCAATTTCATTGTTACAAATTGAACATAATTAAAGCATAGTGATTAATCACAAAAACAATATGTAACTATGTATGTGTTTTCCGATGGTTTTAGGCGATCCCTGTGAAAGGGTCGTCCGACCCCCAAAGGGGTCGTGACCCACAGGTTGAGAACCGCTGGTCTAGAAGGAAAGGGATGGTCAGGACCAGTACAGCCAGGTGCAGAGGGGGCTGGGGGCTGGGGCTGGGTCCAGGGTGGGCACAGGTGGGAGGGGAGCTCAGCCCAGCCCACCTGCACACCAGTGTGCTCCCCCTTCTGTCTCAGGGAACCCCTCACTCACTGGCTCTCCCTTCAGCCTGGCCCACTGGGCCTGCCTAGGGGATGAAGCAGCACTTACCTGTCTGAGGTGGGCTTCATGAGGGTTTTGCCATCTGAAGTGATGAAGGACATCCTCAGTTTGGGGCTGGGGACAAAGCACTCCTCGTGAGAGAATATACACATGGGGTCAGAATGACCCTAGGGAGCAGCCAGAGGGGGTGCATGACACCTACGAATGTCTCCATTTTGGGGGGCCTAGTTCATATTTTTGAGAAGACTTTCTTTTTACATTGCCCTTTTCCTTTGGCCCTGGACACCATTTGTCCGTGTTCAGTTACCCTGTTTGCCTGTTTCCTAATCTTGAGTCCCTCAAGCACAGACTGTTTCCCTTATCCCATGGCTTCCCTCCAGAAAGGAGCCACAAAAAACCTCCCCAGCTGATGGCACTGGTGTGACTTTCCTTCCCGCTCAGAACGCTGCCCTGGGTTCTGTGCTCCTGACTAGAGGGCCCCCCTTCCCAGGGAGTCAAACCGCTTGGACTCTGCGGGGGAGGAAACACCAACCGTACTTTGTGTACTTCTTCACCATTTTCTCCACAATGCTGTAAATTTCCTCCCGTTTGTTTTTCATGTTGTCTGATCTGAAAACAAAGGAACCGGAGGTAGAGAGATGACAGGACCCCATCAAGCAGTCAGACTTCTGCCTCCCAACCTTCCAGCAGGCCCTTTAGTAACTCCCCACCTCATGTAGCTGAAGCCAGGCACACACCCTCAGAGACTTCACTAGGTCACCCTGTGGTGACTTTAAGCAATGTGAGTTGTGGGGAGCATGACCAACCAGACCTGTGTGCTGGGGGATGAGGGAGCTTGGCTGGCAAACCTGGATGGTTGGTCACATTAGGTGGGACCACTTGGTAAAGGATGAGGGAGGATGGGTTGATTGGAAAGCACATTCTGATTCTAATACGTTGGCTCTCCTGGCCCTCATTTACTGACATCCCAACAGGGTCCCTGGCAGGGAGGATGTGCTCTCAGAACGTTTTATTTCCATCCTTTCTTATCGGCCCACAAAGCTGAGACACCTGGGACATGAAAGGCCTTTCCAGCACTCCTGCCAGAGGGCAGCCGCAGTCAGGACATCTCTGTGCTGCTCACATGGAGTCCTGAGCAGCAGGAAACTGCAGGCCTCTGTTGTCCCTCCCTTCAGGTCTTCACGCTGATTGCTCATACTTCAGTCACTAAATGGCAAGCGAGGAGACTGAAGGGTGATGGGGTCGTGACCTCATCGTGTCTGTCTCAGTAGGAAACACTTACATGTGTCCTATCTGCCCAGAGTTCAGAAGTCTTAGCAATCCCACATCTCTGTGGGTTGGCCTACTTCCAGATTAGGGAAGGCAAATATGAGGTTCACTGACTACATACATTTGAAGGTCTTACAGATGGCAAAGGGTGAAACTGAGGCTAGTACTCTGCCCTGGGCTCTTTTACTATAACATCTGGCTTATACATTTTGTATGGCATGTGAATCAGAGGGACCCGCCAACGAGGCCCTTCCCCTCACCTCCAGTGATCACCATGCCCATAAATAATTTAATGTCATATTTATATGTGTGATTCCCACTTACCCTATAGCATCCTTCCCCTCTATAATATTCCTTTTACCTCCTCCAGGCTGCATCTAAAACTGTCACCGATGGTGAGGAAACTAAGGAAAGGGTATTCCAATAATATCGCGATTATCATTTATGAAGCATCTATGTACCATACACTTTACAAACATGATTTCCAATGCCAAAACAACCCTATGTTATTAGCATTATTTCTATTTTTTACAATGAGAAAACTGAGGCTCTAACATGTCAAGGACTTTGTCAAAATTTCCTTGGCTAACATGAATCTAAATCTTGATGTAGCTGCAAAATCCTTGCTCTCCCCACTTTACTCAACAGATCAGGGACACTGCTGTAACCAACATTGTTGGATAGCAAAGCACTAGACTCTGTCAGTCCATTCACAATACAGACTTCCTCTCAGAATCTCCACATTTATGTGCAAGGCAACTCCTTTCCTCGCTATTGGTAACATTTCCAACTCTATTTTGTATTACTCCTCTCCTTTGTTTTCTCCTTGAGTGAAGAGGATTTTCCAGAAAAGATGTACAGAAAACACGAGTCTTCAACCCAACCACCTATTCTGGGATGATTTTGGAGGAAAGTCTAGATTCTAGAACACAAGTTCTCATGGGCAGTGGAAGGAGGCAATATGGGACAGAACAATCACATGGGCTTCTGGCAGAAAGCACTCCCAAGCTTTAACACCCCACTCTTAAAAGAGAATGGAGAGATGAGAATCTTCAGACATTTGAGGACATCTCTACCATTAAAGCTTGAGGCCAATAAAATCTAGTGCTATAACTATTATGGGAAAATGAAGCATGTGGGGAAGAATTATATAGGTTAATCAAGCTATAAGAAAGCTAAATTTTCCTCCCCCTTAGTATGAACTCAATAGAAAATTTGTAAACCTCAAACAATAATATCTGTCAGTACAAGCATCTATAAAAATAAAAGCATAATATGCTAATTAGACCAGGTGTCCTTCCAGACGTCCTTCCAGATGACCTTCTGGACGAAGAAGGGCTTGATAGAAGCCTGTGTCCCAAGTGTTCACCTGTGGCTGGAGGGAAACCCGGGTCCCAGATGCCAGAGGGAATCTAGTGCCGGCAGCCAGGGGAAGGAAAGGCTACTCTTGCACGAATTTTCATGCATTGGGCCTCTAGTAGTATTATAAACATGGTCAAAATTTCCTTGGCTAACATGAATCTAATATAAAAGATTATTATAAATATAAAAGATTATTTAAATATTTTATAAATATAAAATATAAAAGATTAGTCAGTGACTACCTCTGGGGAGTGAAATAAGAAGTGGGGAGGTCTCGGGAAGATGGCAACCGGCAGAAAGGTAGGGAGGGAGAGAATGTGAGAGTGCGAAGGATCAATAGAGGAGTATGTGGACGTGTGTGGTGTGTGTGTGTATGAGCTAGGGACAGTTAGATTCTGCAGGTCTGCCAAGGGGCTGCCAAATCGGGCAGTCTTAGACGGCGTAGCCCCACTCCAAGCGCGGACACTCCTGAGCGGCCAGCGCGGGCACAGAGACCATGCCATCTTGAAAAACAGAGCTGCTTGAGACTAGGATTCTGGCCTCAGCACCACCCAGTCTGGTCTCAGACACAAACCAGGACCCTGCAGCCAATGGGGACAGAGACCTGCGACCACAGCTACAGACCCACAGACACCAAGAATCCAGACATCCCCGCAGCAGATCTCTGTGAGTAACAGAGCCCATCCTCCTCCCCACAGGCTCAAGGGCAGCACCATAGTAACTGATAGACCCACCCCTCCCCCGGGCCTCAGTGCTGCTACAGGAACCTTAGCCTGGAAGCGCGCAAATACTGAGAACTTGTCCCCCACAGCATGGACTACAGGAACCTTAGCCTGGGAACTAACACGAACACTGGGAACTTGTTCCCTGCAGCACGGACCCCCGGGACCCTGATTCTCCTGGCGGGAGGCAGCACCAAGCACCAGTGACTTGACTGTGTTTCTTATCACCTGCCCCTTGGATCCCTGATTCCCTGTGCATTAACACTAAGAGCCAGTGACTCCAATTCTTGGTGCATGTGCACACAGGGACCCTGATTCTCAATGCGAGGCCGTGCGAAGCAACAGAGACTCTGATACTGGATTCTTGGGGAACTCTGACTCCTGGCGCACGCTAGGGGGCTCTGATTTTCAACACACTCCAGGGGGGTCTCTGTTTCAGAACCGTGCAGGTGGGGTCCCTGATTCTAAGTGTGCACACGAGAACACATTGAGTGCTGGTAATGCTGACTCTGAGCGAGCCTGGTTCCCACCAATCCACCACAACCACACATCTTAGTGTCAGAGCTCTTCAGTGACACTAGGGTGGTGCGAAACTCCCACTGCACACAGCCCAGGCCCACGCAACTCGACGTTTGAACCATCTGGAGATAGTCAGAATGGGGAGATGACACAATCCCCAGAGGAAAGAAAATGAGGAGTCACCAAGAAAGAAAATTAATGAAATTGAAGCATGCAACATGTCAGAAAAAGAATTCAGAGTAATGGTTGTACAATTCATTCACCGGATGGATGAGAAAATCAACAACCTATGCAAGAATCAGGAAGAAATGAAAAGTGATATAGCTACAATCAAAAACACCATGGAAGGTTTCAACAGTAGACTAGAAGAAGCAGAGGACCAAATTAGTGAGTTAGAAGATAAAGTAGAGAAATAAGCTCAATCTGAACAGCAACTAGAGAAAAAAATTAAAAAGCAGGAGGAGAGCCTAAGGGAGCTTTGGGACAACATGAAACGAAGTAACATATGCATAATAGGGCTGCAAGAAGGACAAGAAGAGCAGCAAAGATTAGAAAATCTATTTGAAGAAATAATGACAGAAAACTTCCCAGATATGGGGAAGAAAAAAGTTACACAAGTACAGAGAGTCCCAAGCAAGATGAACCCCAAAAGACCCACACCAAGACACGTCATAATAACGATGGCAAATGTACACGATAAAAAGAGAATCTTAAAGGCTGCAAGAGAGAGACAGAGAGTTACCTACAAAGGATCCCCCATCAGATTATTAAATGATTTCTCAACAGAAACACATCAAGCTAGAAGGGAACGGAAGGAGGTATACAAAGTGTTGAAAAGCAAAGGACTGAATCCAAGAATACTCTATCCAGCAAGACTATAAATCAAAATTGAAGGAGAAATCAGGAGCTTTGCAGACAAAAAAAAGGCTAAGGGAGTTTATCACTACCAAATCAGCAATGCAAGAAATGCTAAAGGGAATGCTGTAAAAAGAAGAAATAAAAAGGTAAGAAAGAATACAGGCACAAAAATAGAAGTGACTACAAGCAAGTACCTTTCAATAATAACTTTAAACGTAAATGGACTAAATGCTCCAATCAAAAGACATCGAGTGGCTAAATGAATAAAAAGACATGACCCATATATATGCTGTCTACAAGAGACCCATCCCAGAACAAGGGACTCACACAGAATGAAACTGAAGGGATGGAAAAATATCTTTCAGGCAAATGGAAATGAAAAAAAAAGCTGGGGTAGCAATACTTATATCTGACAAAGTAGACCTCAAAGTGAAGGCCATAACAAGAGACAAGGAAGGACACTTCATAATACTAAAGGGATTGATACAACAAGAGGATGTAACCCTGATAAACATATATGCACCCAATGCAGGAGAACCCAAATACATAAAAAAACCGTCTGGAAGATAACAAGGGAGAGATCAACAACAACACAATCATAGTAGGGGACTTAAACACACCACTGACATCACTGGATAAATTTTCTAGACAAAAAATCAGCAAAGAAACAGCAATCCTAAATGACTCACTAGATCAGATGAACTTAATTGACATCTGCAGAAAATTTCACCCCAATGTCACCAAATATAAGTTCTTCTCAAGTGCACATGGGACATTTTCAAAAATAGACCACATATTGGGTCACAAGCAAAGTCTCCCCAAATTCGAGAAGATTGAAATCATACCAAGCATCTTCTCAGACCACAATGACATAATATT